CTGGAATCCCTAGCCTACTGCTTGCATCTAGGTTTGGCAAGCAGGAAGAAAGGGAATTGTATGAATATTCTAATACTACCAAACTTCAAATGAACGGTATCTTTCGATTATCATTTGTATTCACAAGCTTCAGCCCAAAAATTGTATAACGTAGATGGCATGATGTGTCGGAAAAATGACTTGTATAAAATCGCTGTTGGTCTTTGTATTTGTGGAAAAGGTACCAAGGCTATAATTCTTTTAAGAGGGAGAGTCAGTAGTCTGAAGCACCCACCACTCCTGGTAAGGGATTGGCTGTTACTCATGATGCCCCCACAGCTCATAGTGAAAGGAATGTTTTGGGGTACCACACGGATTAAAGCCTAACCCCAAAATCCATAGCTCCACTAGAAGACCAGTGTAGAGACTAGTACCAGTAAAGTTCCTGGTGACAGAAGGTGGTTGTGTGGGCTCATTTCTCTGCCCTTATGCCCCTAAAGTGCCCATTTGTCTGTCATAAAATAATTTTCAATTATTATAAGATAAATATTCCACACTTTGCTTAGTGCGAGTTATATGGGGGGGGGGGGGGTCGACATGCCGGTCTTTAAGTTAAAATAACTTTTAAGTGTTAATATGTAAAACTTGTTGTTTAATTTTATACAGTAATGTTCTTAAGTCTAATTGAATAGGAATAAACGAGGATATGGTTGCTTCCATGGGTTTTATCCTAATAGTATTTTCTAATTTCTCCCCCCTTCTCTTTTCCACTGCCACCAAAAGAAAAGGGGAGATACATGCTTGCATTTCTTATTTTTGTCAGAGCCCCCTGCTGTTTCAATGTTCTCGGAACATTACTGTTTTTAAAAGACTGAAAGTCCAATTAAGTGTAATTAACAATTAAATGAGTTTATGAAAATCTATTTCAGGTTAGTATTATCTGGTAGTCTAATCCGAAAGCTCTGAAATAGCTATTGCAATAGTTTGATATTTGATTGAGATGCCTAGATAAGTGCCTTATGAACATTTATTGCATTTAATGCCTAACTACTACTCCTAATAATAATAATAATAATAATAATAACATGATTACAGAATCCAGACGTGATTGATCAAG